ATGGCTTTGTAAAGTCAGGATATGACAATAAAACATCTTCCGATGCTAGGATCTCCTTTAATTTTTGGAAAGCCTCTTTTTGTTATTTATTTAGATCAATATCAATTTTTCTTGATTGATATTTGCTCACTTTTCCATTTTCCCCTTTTAGGATTCCCGTAAGGGGCCCTGCGATAGATGCAAAACCTTTAATAAAGCATCTATAGTAACTCGCTAACCCCAGAAAAGATCTGAGGTCGAAGAGGGTTTTTGGTTGTGGGAATTCTTTGATAGCCTTGACCTTTTCGGGTGAGGTTCGTAGACCCCCTTCTGACACTATGAATCCCAAGTATTCAACGCTTTTTTTAAAAAACTTTGACTTTTCTTGAGATACCCTCATGCCTGCTTCTAGAAGTTTCTCGAGAACCCAGTGAATGTCTCCCACGTGGTCCTCTTTTGTTTTTGAAAAAATAATGACGTCATCGACATAAACGTAGCACGTCTTTGAAATTTGTTCCCTTGGGACGTCATCGATGGCCCTCTGAAAAATGCTTGGAGCGTTTTTCAGGCCGAACGGCAGTCTACAAAACTCGTATTTACCGTTATTTATGGAGAAGGCCGTTTTCTCTCTGTCCTTCTCCGCTAATTATATCTGGTGGAAGCCTGATTTCAGATCATAAGTTGTGAAAAATTTTGACTTGCCCATATTTGACAGTATGGTTGATATTGTCGGCATGTATCTGTCATCTACCGTTTTCTGATTTAATTTTCTAAAATCGATAACTAATCGTTTCTTTTTTAAACCATTTTGGTCGGTTTCTTTTTTGTCTACGACCCAGGTTGGATTATTATAGGGTGATCTAGATGGCGTAATGATGCCGTCCTCTAGAAGTTGTTTAACCTCTGAGTTTACGAATTCTGTCACACCCATGGGATGTGGGTACGATTTTGAGTACACCGGCTCCCCATTTTTTTTTATTGTTGCAATAGTATTTATGTTGTAGGGTAAAGCCTCGTCTGGATCAGCGAAAGCTTTACAGTTTTTTTTAATCATATTATCAAAAGCGTTTTTTATTGCAGGTGGAACACTTTCGTCATCAATTTTGATGAAATTTACATTTTCAGATTTGGTAAACTGAAGTTTTTCTGACGTGCTACTAGTTTGTAACATATTTTTAGTAAAGTCGAGTTTCGCATTCACTTGTTTAAGCAAGTCGAGCCCGATAATACCATCATAACCCTTAAGAGCGTTATGGATAAAAAAATTTGATTTTGTTTGAAATATTGAAATCAAACATTTTTTTGTAATTTGTGTGTGGCCATGAATACACCTTACATTAATTTTTTGATGTTCCTGTATCGATTAATAATTTTATTTTTTGCCCTGCTAACCTGGTAATAACCGAGTAATATAAGGGAGCAGGGATTTTATTCTAAAAAATTGCAGATATCATCAGCGTCTAAATCATCTTCAATCTCTGTTGCATACGCTTCGGCAACAGAATCGTATTCTTCTTTAGACGGTTTTTCTTCTGGCATGAAGTTTATTTTTTGTTGGCTTCGTGCCGACTGGTCCTTTCGCCAGTTTGTATTCTGTCTAAATTTAGAGGAAGTATCTACCTCCATGGGCTCCGGTTTTGGCCGGGCCTGAGTGTTTTCTACGTAAGGACGAGTGTTTTGTTTGGACGAGGGCGTTTGATTATTTCCCCAGTTTTTACCTCTGGTAAAGTAAGGGTTTTTTTTAATTGCCCCTGTGTTTTGGTTCGGCTCATAGATAGGTGAGCTTGACTGTTGTGTTTTTCACGAGGTTGGTCGGTAATTACTGGCCTTATTTACTTTTTCTTCGCTATGCCGAGCGAAGCTGGCCGCGAATATGCTCCTATCATTGCTTGATTCTGCCTCCTGTGCAAGGCTAGTGCCGTTGGCAGGTCCCGTGGTTGCGCCGGGAAAACGGCAATTTTAAATGACTTCTTTAAGCCAGAAACGAACGCATGAAGTGCGTCTTCTCTAAATATGTTATTAAGTACGGCTGCAGCGGCAGCGTCGTGCGTCATTACTATCTTATTTGTCAGAAGTGTTAACCTTTTTTCGACTTCATCATAATATTTAAGTAGCGGTAAATCTCCTTGCCTTGAAAGGCTTAACTCCTGTTGAATTACATGAGCTGGAGTTTTGTCCGCATATGTAAAATCGAGGCGGGCTAATATAGCGTGAAAGTTAAGTACTGTATTAAATGAAGCTAATACGGCCGCTGCCGGGCCCCTAACTTTATTTCTAAGGATGGCCACGGCTTGATAATGCCGACTGCTGCCCAAGTAAGGCTCAAAGACCTTATAAGCTGCGATGGCGGCCTGTCTCCAGGATACGTAATTTTCCTGTTTCCCGTCAAATTCGTTGCACTCGGCTCCTGGTATAATACTTATTTCTTTAAAGATTTCTATTTTTGGGGTCTCTTTTTTTAAAATGTTTAGTTCCCCCATGATTATACTTAATTGTTCGTCAAACAGCCTTTGCTGTCCTTCTAGGGCCTCACTTATGGCCGCTTCCATGCTTGCGATTTGTTCGGGCTGCATGGTTTGTGGTTCTTGTGAGGGGGTATTTAATGGAATAAAATTATCCAAAGTACTTTTCCTTAAGGATATACTGGCCCTACTGGATGAGGGCTCACAGTCCTCACTTTCGCTATTTTCTGCTTGTATTCCCCCACTTTTTGTGCTAAAAGTTACTTATATTCCTCTATGAGTTCATCGCCCGATGAGTCTGTATCGTTGTTTCTGAACATTAGCTTTTTTATGAGCGAGCGAGAATTTTTTTTCATAAAGATGGAATATATTTATTTTATTCCATTTATTTATTTTAAACTTTCATTTATAACTTTTATTAATATGCTTAAGTTGAATTCTTAAATGCACTTAGAAAAGATTTTTGGGGAAAAAATAACTTTTGTAAATTTTAATTTTTAATTCTTATATAGAAAAAGAATACAAAAAATATTCTCTCAGTGTAGGCAGGCACGAAGTGCGAACTGAATTTTTCTTTGTATAAAAAAATATATTTGTTGCAATATGCAGAATTGTTCTACAGCCACTTTATTGAAATTTAATTTATTTTTCGTTGCGAACAAGAACAAGAACAAAAACAAGAAGTCCACTTACATGTTTATTTTATTGGCTGCTTCTTCGGTGACGTTTCTGTTCTTCGTGCGGGCCGCGGGGCCGGTCGGTTGCAACGGCTGCCGTTGACGGTTGTCGTACCCTCGAGCGGGGCGAGGGGTTTGGTTGAAGAAGGTGGCTACTGCTGGCGGTTGTCGTACCCTCGAGCGGGACGAGGGGTTTGGCTGTCGGCAGTGGCTTCGTTGACTTCTGTCGTACCTTCGAGCGGGGCGAGGGGTTTGGTTGGCAGCGGCGCCTAGTCGCTGGTTTTTAAACAAAAAAAATTTTTTTCCAGTAGCAGCAGTATGACTTGTAACTACTTTTTACTTCTCACGGTTGCTCCGTTTTCTAAGTGTGTGTTTTTTATTTCATTCGTTTTGTTCACTTTACGATTTTTGAATTATGATGATTTTTTTTTTTTTTTATAAAACCTTTTTATTTTGTTACACTTGCAATTTAGTGTTATTTATTTTTAACTCCGGCTTTTCGTGGTTGTTTAACTTTTTTGGGTGTGAATTGTGTTGTTCACTTTATTATTTTTTGAACTAATATTTTTTACTCTTGTTGTGTGATCTGTGAGTTTAAATTCTGCCGTTTGCCAGTTGTTTTGCTTCCCTTTTTTGGGTATGATTTTTGTTGTTCACTTTATTACTTTTTTGTTTGTTGGGTTCTTTAGTTTAGTTGAGCGCCAATTAATGAATTGTGTTCTTTGTATTTTTATATTTCCTTTATTTCCGTACACCCGTTAGGGCATAGGTTAATTATTCGGATTTATAACGAAGCTTAAGCCCCGGAGTACAATTTTAAACTAAACTATAAATTACCGCGGCTGCAACTCCAGGCCTCCCTTGGGCGACAGCGCAGTCGAGTTAGTGCAAGGTCAGCACCTTGTGTCTGCCCAGCAACGATCACTCGTCGCAGGCGTGCTGGAGTTGGGCAGGCAGCGTTCGCCCCGGAATGCGCTGTCAGCTAATTTGGCCTTGCGTGTGTGGGCTATTGTATCCGGTGCGCAATTCGGCAGATTTTCTGCATTTCGGTTACGCATGTTAATTTATATACCCAAACTTTCTGTGCGTTTTTACTGATCAATTGGGCTGTCACGTTTAAAAAAATTTGATGGGACGAACACGTACATCTTCTGAACTAGTCGCACGATATTCGTAGCGAGCGGAAACTAACAAAATCAGTTCGTTTCAAGATTAATCATTTATTTATTTATAGTAAGTAAAGAAGCGACAAAGTAATTTATTACCCAAGATAAAAAAATAATAAATAAATACCGTAGTCAATTTGACACTGGGATCAAATAAAAACACTAAAATTATAAGCACAAAACACACAAAATTAAAAGAAATGCGTGTAAATGCAAAAGCGGGAGAGCACTTTATGAAATCTTTTCTATCGACTGTGCGTGGCCTGTGAAACACTAACAAATATGTACTGACACAGTTAGATAGGGCGCAAAAGTAGAGCGGGAGGAAGAGAGAGTAAAATGTTACAAAGACTTACTCGTGCAATGTTGCACTGGCAAAGCACGCACAAGATAATGAAATTACAATAACAATGCACAGGGATTAGACTATTTAAAATAAAATTATTAAGACTTTAATAGTGAGCTAAGCTAAGCTTGGTTCAAAAGAAAAACTTGACAAAATCACAAAGCACAAGATAAACATAACCGATCAGAAGCGACGCTAAATCGAGGTAGAAGGACCCACTCAAGAAGATTAAGTGTTAATTTGTAACCGATCGGTCAACTTGATGTCAACTGTTTTCAGAAATGTAGTTTTCCGCTTGCAAAGGATATTTTCACATTGTAAACTATCGATAAAGCCAAAAAATCTGCCATAGCAACGATCGGGTACAATTATGTTGTTTTCTAAAAATAAAGCGTATACCTAGACAGCAAGGGTTTTATAACTTCGGCTTGCCGATGTTAGCTTCCGTTTTATTTGGTTTCATAACTTCAAAAAAAATTGTTTTTCGAATAATATTGCGCTTTGGGACCAATGTGCAATGCAAATTTTTTTTTTTTTATTAATAAATGATTTAAGTCGTATTCTGGCATTTATACTAGCAGTACATATTAATTGCAGATATGTTGACGAACTCTTATATTGGTCGGGTCGTAGAATGATTTTGGATGAATACTTGCAAGGAGATTTATCGCCAACCAGATTACCCCCATCTTGGGTTACAACTCAGAAGTATGTATTTCAATCAGATGATGGTGGGTTGGCTGTATTGGACACATCTACAAACTTAATTAACGTCCTAGTGACTAATCATACTCTTCGTCAATTAAATGTTCAAGGCTACCTATGCTCCCGCGATCTAAAATACTTATTATTCAAACATAACGTAAAAAAAGTAAGTTTTATTCAAATTATGAGACTAAATATATATATATAAACGAACGACTTTTTTTTACCAGAATTTTCAGAAGTCCTTCACAGCATTTTATACAATCTACGACGTGGAAAAGGATCATCACTTACCAGTCAAATTGAAAGACTCATTAAAGGTACAAAGAACTCGTCTGCAGTATGCAACTTGGCTTGGCAATACGTCGGCAATAATATTTGTAGTGGAAAACGATATATTTATCCGACAGTCCCCTTTAAAAGAGGAAGATATAAGAATAACATCATCGGGATATGAAAATCAAATATATAACGGTGTTCCTGATTGGCTTTACCAGGGTAAGGATTATTTGAATTATATGATTTCAGCTTTTATGACTTACGTAAAAACGAAGCGCATCAGCAGAGTGTACGAAGGCGTCATACGGCAGAAGAGGAGCAGAGTTTAACTCAGCTTTGATGTTCTGATCGTTATGACTGATAGTGCAATCGAATAATACAACTAAATTAATTGATTCAGGAAAATTCCGGTGATAGCTTACATCAGGGGTTCTCACACAAATGCACAAAGAGCTCAGTTGTTTTTGTAAATGCAAAATGCTTAGGGAGATGTGACTTTAAAAAAAAAAACATTCAAGCTTAGTGGAGCTACAAATTATTAAGCTTTTATGCCGATAAACGGATATTTAAATGATAGTTGCCGTGCCTTTTCGAAATATGTCTATAAAAAATAGTTTTAAAATTATGGCTTAACATTTTTATTCGCTGATTTCTCAATGCAGCCCCAACGATTTCGATCATGGACCGTTACTAGTTTTATAGTACAAATTTTGGTAATGAAAAAATTTATATTTTTAATATTGTATTTTTGAGTAGTTTATTAAAGCTAAGTCCATATTTATTTTTATATAAAAAATAAAATTAAACATTTTATTTAATAAAACTTATTTGTCAGATTTTGTGTAAAATTGTCCGACAAATATTTTTTCATATTTTTGATTTGCTGACCTCTTAAAATATGAAGTATTTCAAGAAAAAAAAACTTTTACCAGTTGCAAATACCAAATGGCAAGATGCAACCGAAATTTTTGAATTTAATTAACTTATGATAGTGCACAACAATTTAAAATGGTCTGTAAATGTTCAGAAGAACACTTGTACTTGTCGGGCAGAAAGCTGATGCAAATTTTTATTGTAACTAAAAAAGGGCGCAGTGGTCGCACTTATCTATCTGTTAAATAATAAGCCACTTGAGCCTAGCTTAAAATTCGAAGTTTAGTTCTTTAAAAATTCTTCTGTCCCTCCACCAGTGGTAAAAGACCAAGAAATTAAAGCCAGCACCTTAAAGTTTGTACAATTTGCCCAAATTTTGTAATAAGATGCAGTTACAATCGGATCTCGAGTTGCGTGGAAAGCCACACAGACCAGTGGCAGGGTGCCCCTTCATCGAGCCACCCAGAGGAATTAAAAAAAAAATGTATTGAATAAGCCTTATATAAATTAAACAGTTTATTTACTAAAAGTATTTTAAGTAAGAGAAATATATATTTGAATGCTAATTATTATTATTATTATTATTATTATTATTATTATTATTATTATTATTATTATTATTATTATTATTATTATTATTATTATTAGTATTATTATTATTATTATTATTATTATTATTATTATTATTATTATTATTATTATTATTATTGTTATTATTATTATTATTATTATTATTATTATTATTATTATTATTATTATTATTATTATTATTATTATTATTATTATTATTATTATTTGTGCATTAATTGTAAAACAAGGTAAACTTGCCTTAAAATCGAAAGCTAAATCTTATCTGCAATCCTAAATCCCCGCAGGAATATTTTCAATGATTTCCAATCAGATGCGAAATTGCAGCGCAACACTATTTACCCAAACCTGAATTGCAGGTATTGCAGTTAAATTTGCTCTGCAATAAATCATTAATCCACATTTTCCTCGGAGCTGGGGGAAACTGCAACTGAAAACACAGAACGGGGGCACAATGTGCAGGTACCAGATGCTCTGGAAGGAACCACGAATAGCAAGAGTCGCACCGCAGCTCAAAAATACAGAACAAATATAATAAAACATAGGTTCGCTAAGTACCCTATTTACTTTTCGCTGAAGTAGTATATAGGCACCTTACTTATTTTTTTTGTGTAAATTTCGTCTAACCTGGCGTGCAAGATGAGCACGCCACGAATAGTTATTATTGCTTCATGATCAAATTAAACCGTAACTCCAAAATAATAAATCATCATCCAAATCATCACTAAATATCGAAGAACTATAAAAAAATAAAAAAAAGCAAAGTTATTTTTTTTTCCAAATTGTTCCTTTGGGAGCTATAAGATATCGTTGTCCGATCCGACTTATATACTATCTACAATGGGAATACAACTTTTGGAAAAGTTTCATGCAGATAGCTTTAAGTCTGAGAAACTAGTTTGCGTAGAAACAGACGGACAGGCGGATTTGGCTAGATCGACTCTCCTAGTGATGCTGATCAAGAATATGTATTTACTTTTTAGGGTTGGAAATGTCTCCATCACTGCGTTGCATGCTTCTGACTGAAAATATAATACCCTCTGCAAAGGTAACTAAAGGAAAACGGAACAAATTTTTCGCTTTCCTAGCCTATTCGAATAAAATCCACCATTCACATGTCGCGTTAGAATGCCATCAATGGACTGTAAATCGAAAACATTGAGAACATATTTGAAGCTATGAATTCTGAATTTGAAATTAACTGATGTGATTATTTTGGACCAATTCAATAATGGCCTCCACCTTCTTGGACTGTTATAGACAGGGGAACAATAACACCTAGTCCTTCTGATATTCCGATGGTTTCCAACCTTGTGTGCAATGTCCTATCTTCCTAGCTCTGTCTACCTTCTTATTGGTTGTTGAAACGAATCGTGAGTCCAAGCGAAGATCCTCCCCAGCCCTGCGCTAAGTCGACAAAGTAAATGACAGAGCAGCTTCGGAACTCGTGGTATGTTCCATCGGGTCCGATCGATCGAATTTATATATTATTTATAATTCCGATCCTAGAAAACGTATATTATATTATTATTATATTATATTTCTGGGCCCGAGCTTCACCCTCCCCCTCCCGATTTTCCGTTACGTTCCTCAACCACCAGAAATAGGATGGAGGTATTTTATCACGTGTTGTTGAGTGTGATAAAGAAGTCGCATTCAAACCAGATCAAAATTTCTCATCAGCTTCGATAATTAAAACTAAGGACTAAAAAAACTGGATTCCTCTTGTGTAGTGCAAACATATTGTATACCCGCTGTACCAAGAGTACAAATACTGTAACACTTTGTTGCAGTGTTTACATAATCAAAATGTCCCGGTCATAACCCCAAATGGCCGAAATATGAACCGATGGCTATGCCTTGGACTGCACATCGAAAGTGCATATACCTCGCGCTCCCGCTAAAGAGAGCATAGCCTATATACCTAAGCATATACATAGCCGTTTCTCTGCCGCCGTCTGTGGGCAGCGCAGCGACGAGACTTAGCCTTACTTAGAATTAAAAAAATGTAAGAACAGAAACATATAAACGTGGATTGCTGCTCCTCCAAAATAAATAAACAATTTAACTTAAACTTGATGTTTCATTTGTGAATAAAGAAGATACTTAATGGTGACCATGACATGGTCCTGGACGATCTAACAAGGATATATGGAAGAATAACAACCTGAAACACTAGCAAAGGAGAAAAGAGAGAAGCTGAATGAGTAGAGTATTGTGAGTGAAGAATTATTAAGAAATTGAGCAAAGAAATTGCACATATTAAGTGGCAATTATATTCAATGAAATCTAAAATACCGTGGAAGGCAACCCCTGAGCTACAGGCCGGGCTTGAAAGAAATAAAAAATAAAAAGCCAACACCGCAAGCTCACTCCGCAAAAATTTAAGTTATCAATGAAATTAAAATAAGGAAACCACCTTCTCTAAAGCCATTACCGAGGAAAGAGAAATCCTGCCCCAACGATTGCCCTGGACCACTATATATAGCCCGACGTGCAAATCAACTTGCATGAAGCCCACGACCTGTTCGAAGATCGCCCCTTGCGCCTTCAAAGGAACGTCAGCGTAACCAAACCGGTGACGACCAGCTGACGCGGAGAACACCAAAGATACTCTATCGGACGCAGCCAAACCAACAGAGCGAGGGGCAATCCGCCACTTGCGCCTTCAAAGAAGCGGCAGCGAAACCCAGCCAGCGACGACCAGCTGACACCGGAGAAATATTTTATTAAAATTTGCACTGCGATGCATAATTTTTTTAATTGCACTGCGATGCTGAAACCGAGCGGAACCCTTTCTGCCCAACAACTAGGTAGAACATGTAAAAACAATATACAAAATTGCAAATGGAAGGGGGGAAACAACTAACTACAATGTATTGGGTGGACGGGGTACTAGACCCTATCCCGAAAAAGACTCCGCAGTTAACTCCCAGAGAAGTTAGCTCACGCCAAAGGGTAAGCCTTACCTTCTCCGATCGCCGTCGGCCGCAGAGTGATCTGTATGGGCCACCGGCGCCCTTTTTATATCCTCCCGGCCCTCGCCAGTGTGACTGTAGTTTCATAATCCTATAGCCATGGCCATACCGCGTGTGGCTTGTGGTGGCTATTGGTCAGTGTGACCGTTTCATTTGTTTGGCGCGCCCGCCCGGATATTTAAATTTGAATATTTCCGTTTAACTTAAATTTATTTCGGCTTCTTGCCTTTTTACGGTATTGAACTTATAATTATTTCGGCTTCTTGCCTACTTAACGACTATCTATAGCTACTGATTATGTTATTATATTATATTTACTAAGTGCGCTCCTGAGCGTCACACCTCCCCCCCTCTTGAGAAGGCACGAAGTGTCATATAGTGATACGTCTTCCCCTTCCAAAGATGACCTTCCACGTCTTCCGGTCGTCATTTACTAATATACTCTGCTGCTTTCCCTTTCTCCTTCTGTTCCATCTCTCTTTAATTTCGTTGACCGCCCTGGCTGACATCGTTGCATCTCTGGGTACGATCCACCCCATCTCGTTCGTGAACCACTCCACTTGTGGTGCCTGTGCGTCTGGGCGTGCCTCAGTCTCATGGCTTGATGTCGCTTCCTCTGCCTGTGCATCCGCCGCTTGCGCCTCCGTGTCCTTCGGGTGTAGCTCCAGGATGTCCCGGTCTGGCCACGGTGTCCTTGCCCGATCTCCGTGTTGCTCCTGGACACTCCTGTCGGCCACTGCCTCAAGGGGGCTGCGAGGAACATGGGCGATCCGGATCCGT